CCAGCTCCACCAGCACAGATGACGGGAGCTTGGTGAAGGGCTGCTGCCTGGCTCACATGCCAGAGCCCAGAGCTCACTCACCTGCCCCCAGCACCTTTGCACAGTGATCGGGAGTGGCAGCCAAAGCCTCCATGGAGCACAGAACCAGCTGGACCCATGTCACCCTGAGCAGCAGATGCACTCACGTGGCCTGTCCCACCACCTATGGGGCTCTGCCAGGGACACATACTTTGCCTCCCCTGGGCCCCTGAGGCTGAGACTCACCCAAACTGGGAGCCGGCCCCCACAGTGCTGTAGGTGAAGGCTCGCTCACTCTCACGGACCTTCTGGGACAGCAGGCTGGTCAGCGCAGGGAAGTAAACCCCTGGAATAAGCAGAGAACACAGAGGCTCCCAGGTGCTGGGTCCTGGGTCAGCAGGTCCAGTGAGGACAGCCAGTTGACAGTAAGAGCCAGGCCAGAAAGCTCCCCATCAGTGATTATTCAAGCTTGGGGTGTCCTTCATGCTCACATCACCCCAAGGGACCAGCAGCGACACTTAGCTAAGGAGACGCTCAGCTTGGGTGAGAGGTGCCAGCGGGAAAGATTTCTACCACCGTCACTGGACCTTGAGAGCCCCACTAGCTCTATAGTCCTGGCACACACGTGTGACATGTCTGATCACACACACTGATCACACTAGCACACGCTTTCTCTCACACATACGGTGCACATACAATGTGAGACCTGAACGGCCCTGTGGAACCACAGTGCTGGGTCCTGGATGTGATGCTGCCCTGTAGCTACTTGAGGTGTCACCACAGGGAAGTAGGGAGAGAGCATAGAACTTCCTATATGTTTCTTTGCAACTTGCTGGGAATCTACAATTATTTCAAACACTAGTTTTTAAAAAACTGCATTGGGGACTTCAGCTCTTGCCTGTTATGATGTAAGAGGCTAAGGACCAGAATAAGATTTGGTCCCTGCTTTCCCCTCAGGGCCCTGGCCCTGCCCACACAGAGTGCCTTCACCCAGGGTGACAGTTGCCCCTGGAGCCCGGTCTGTCCCCCATAGTAGGCCATAGAGAAGTCCTTTTGCCTCTCAGGAGGATGGGAGAAACAGCCTGAACTGTGGGTCACTCAGAGGGGTGCCTACAGCCCAGCCCTGAGACCTTCATCAACAGGACTGTGAGTACCAGCCACAGGCCACATGGGGACCATGTGGAGTGGGTTCATAGGAGCACAGAGGCTAGTCCACCAGGACCACCCATGGGCCGGACTGGTGGGGCTGGTCAGAAAATAGGCACAGGCCAATTCCAGGAGCACAAGGTTTCCCAGGGCCCATGTCCTGTCCCAGGATAGGAGTGGGTCACCAGGGGTCACTTCTGGATCAGGGAGGGAGATGTGGTGAGGAAGAGGTCAGAACCCATGTGCTCAGATTGCCTCCAGGAGATGGACACTGTTAGGTGCCAGGCTGGTGCAGGTGGAAGCTCACAGGCTGTCGGTTCCCTGGAGCGGAGGCTGGATACCACCTGGGGCCACTGAGGTCTTTGGGGGCTCCCTCCAGAAGCCTAATGCAACCAGAACATGGGACCCTGAGTCCCCACCATGCCCGTCAGCTGTGTAAAGCTGACGGTTATCACACAGCAACCTGGTTGCTGCCCGGGTCCCTGGAGTAGCCTTTTTGGCAGGAGGATGTCTGATGTTAGAATGTTGCCAGACTGTGAAATGTTTCTAGAAATGAAAATTGCTAGGTGCCAAGGCATCATGAGGCCAAGCTGCCCACCCATCACACAAAGGAGCACATAGGAGCACATATGCATGCACAGTGCACTGCCTGCATGAACACATACATGTGCACACAGGAGCATGTGCATGCACAATGGACTGCCTGTGTGAATATGCACACATGCACATACACACATGCACACACATATGTGCACATACCTCCCGTGACAGTTGACTGCCGGCAGTGTGAGGGAAGCCCTCTGAGGTGTGCCTACCTTGAAGCAAGCCGGTGAGGATGCGCGAGAAGGTCATGAAGACCAGGTGGGCACTGCCCAGGTGGGCCAGCAGCGGGGTGGCAGCGGTGATGAAGCCCCAGGCAGAGGCTGACAGCAGGATGACCTTCTCACCCCCGATCCTGGAGGGGACAAGAGGGTGGTGATGGTGGAGCCTTGTGGCCAGGCTGAGCTGCAGGATCAGAGATCCTGCCTAGGAGACACCCGGGTGGGGGGCCTGGGCCATCCGTCTGGCGCTACACCCCTTTGCGGAGGAAATCAAAGGTGAGAACACAGGGTCCAATCAGTCCGTCCATCCCCACACCCCAGAGCCCTCACTAGGATTCCAAGCACCCGACGGGGAGCTGTGCACCTCCAAGTCCCCCTGGACCTCAGGTTTCCCAGCCCTGGCTTCTTCTGGGGGGCCTCTCCCCACAGGAATTTCCCAGGAGGCCCTCCCCCAAGAGCTCCCCAGTCCAATGTGGGGAGTGGGGAAGCGGTTACCTGTCCCCCAGGTGGCCGCCCACGATCTGAGTCAGGCAGTAGCCCCAGAAGAAGCTGCTGAGCACAATGCCAGCTTCCTTCTTGTTCCAGCCGAAGTCCTTGCTCATGGAGACGGTGCAGATGGGCATGCTGACGCGGGCACAGTACAGAAGGCATGTGCCCAGCAGCAGTGTCCCCGTCCATGCCTGGCACTCGGGCCTGCAGGAGAGGAGGAGCCAGTCAGGCCCTGGAGGGGCAGAGTCTGAGGGAGGCACCTGGCCACCTCACCAACGTCTAAATGCTACCTGTTGATTCCCAGGAGAGCAGATAGATTCTAGGAACACTGCTGACAGCAGAGGCTTAGAGCCACCGCATGGCCACTGTAGGGTGGCTTCAGTAAACTGTGGTTGGGGTGCTGCTGTCCAGGACTGGCAGCTGTGGACCAAGGGGACCCAGGAAGGCAGTCAGATGGAAACTAATGGCTGGTAACCCATCAAGGGGCAGCAGGCTGGGCAAAAGGACACCTGCTGTGAGGACCCAGTGTCCGTGGGAGCCCTGTAGGTCCTGGGACACTGGAGAAGCTGCAAACACCTGAACGCACTGTGGACTTTGGTTTGTAACTGTGTGTCAACACTAGCTCGCTGACCTCAGGTGGGTCTAGGGGGACCGAGTGGAACAAGTAGACAGAACCTTCCCAGCAATTCTGTAAACCTATGATTGTTCTGAAAGAGAAGGCTTCCTTTGTGCGGGTGGGAGGTGGGGGTTGGAGAGGAGGCTCCCTGCTCATTGGCATGTCTTTGTGCTGTGGGGACATCCTGAGAGTGGGGGTGGCAGCTGGGGGTTTGGGATCCTGCCTGCACCTGGGCTCGCTCACCTGCCTGGGCTCAGGGCAGGTGGCCAGGTCCTCTTCAGGGTGAGAGACTGCAGGAAGCTTGGGCTGTGGGATGGGCCTGGCTGGGTGGATGAAGGGGGCAAAGGCATTGGTGCAGTAGAGCCTTGAGGAGGTCAAGGGAGGAGAGGGTCAAGGGTGAGAGGCCAAAATGCTGGATCGACAGCCCATGTGGACATCAGAGTCATTCAGGGAAATGACAGGGCTCAGCAAGGAGAAGGTGGGGGCCATGAGCCAGGAACCAAAACAGTTAGGTCGTCCAGAAGTGAGGTCAACAGGAGCCTCAGGGGTAGTCGTTAGAGCAGAGTAGGGAAGGATGCCTATGAGGAGTGACACTGGACTGTCCGCTCACTCCCCAAACGCCCATTCAGACCTCTGTCTGAACCTGGCAGAAGGCTGTTGGGGGCTGTCTGCCAGAGACCAAGTGGGGTTCACGCGGCAGACACAGCGACTCGATCTATGGTAGACACCGGGCAGGTTTCCCACCTGCGGACCCCTTCCAGGCTCAAGCTGTGAGGATGACTCAGGAGGACAGTCCAGGGTGAGACCAGGACCACCCCAGGAGGTCCAGAGCCCATACCCGGCTGTGGACGAGGCAGAGGGGACGTGGGACCTGGGACAGGTTGCCTGGCTTCCTCGAGCCTCAGTTTCTCCATGAAGAAGAGCCCATGACCCCACCTCCTTCACAGTCTGGTAAACAGCAGGGCGACCCACAAGTACCCAGCGTCCCAACGGGCCACTGTGGCTGTCTGGGGGGAGGCATGGCAACTGTGTCCCTCACCTCCGCTGCATGGGTCCACTGCACTTCTCGGCAGTGGGAGAGCGAGACGGGAGGGTGCAACCCCCCAAGTCTCCATAGGTGCACACCCTCCCCGCTGCTGCCCCTCAGAGGCTGCTGTGCCCCACCAGCAGACAGCTAATTCCAGGTTCCAGACCACCACGCGAGTGTTTTGGGGTGAATGGAGTCTAAGTTCCAAACAACTGACCTACTGTCCCCAGCAGGTCCATGCTTGCAGACCAGGCCCTGTCTGGAGCTGGGAAGCTCCTACTGGCTGTGCAGTCTTGTGCACGAACTCTCTAGGAGGAGACTTGGGGACTGCTGGGGCCCCTGCATGACTCGAGGAACCGTCTCTTCCCTGGGCCTGTTTCCTCATGGGTACAGTGAAAAGATTGCACTGGATCTTGGATTTCAAGCTGAGTCTGTAGGTGCTCAGCGAGGTGCCATGGGTGGGGCTCCAGGGCACCCTCTGTCGCTACCTGCTTCACATACTGGGACTTCCTACCCGAGCCCGGGGAAACAGGGTCCTGTGCTGAAAGTGCCCACAGTTCTGTGATCTGGGAGCCCTGCTTGGCCACGCCTCTGCGAAAGCCAGGGCCGGTGCTGTACCTGGAATCAGTCCAGTGACCCCTCAGCATCTCCTGGGAAGGGACCCTCGCCCTCATGTCCCAGCCCTACTTCCTGGTTCTTAAAATGCTACTCAGAAGCCAAGACAAGAGCAGCCTCACGGTGGCAGACAGGACAGATCTGGGGGCCTCCCCTGCCTGAGAGGACAAAGTGGAGGGGGGACCCCACTGACGCTCCCTCTGGTGTTCACAGAAGGGTGTGAGGTGGTGGGGCAGGCTAGGCATCCAAAAGCCCAAGCTCCCAGAAGTGCTTCTCCCTGCCCAGCTGCATCTCTGTCATGGGACCCGGAGGTTCAGGGGCTGGGAGTTCCCGAGGCTCTGACGAGTAGGCTGAGCTGAGGTGTTGGCATAGGTGCTCCCCCGGGAGTTGTGTGAGGCAAGGTGCTGTCTCCTTTCCCCTGGGCCCTGGAGGTCCCCACAGCCCCATTTCTAAGCTAGCAGACAGTGGCAGGTAGGTGGGCAAAGGGATGTCCTTCATAGCCCCTGGGGACGCAGTACAAGGAAGTCTGGCTGGAGGAGGTGACCCAGACCCAGAATGCTCAATCCCTAGGGCAGGATTGGTCAGAGAGGCTGGAGCTTCACCTTGCCCCCTTTGACCTGCCCACCAGCTCATCAAGAGGCCTGTGCCCCCAGCTCATCAAGATGCCTCCAGTGAAGAAACTAGAACAGTGTGCTTCCTGAAATGGGCCTTGTGCAAGCAGCATCCACAGCTGAGCAAACGTGTGGTCACATGGCCCCTTGATTCAGAAAAGGGAACTGTGCAGGCGCCGAGGGCCAGGAGGGCAGCAAGCCCGAGAGGACATGTGGGTCCAAGGCTGCTGGTCACTCCCACACCTGGGGTGTGGTTGGAGAGCAGCCCTGCCTCCTGGGTGGCCATGAGCACAGATGTGGCAGTCCAGGCAGAGGGCACGCAAAGCCCACGGCAGTGAACAGCAGCACTTATTCTTACTATCTGTTCAGGGCTGCAAACAGCCTGCTCTCCGCTGAGCACACTCCACCCAGAACCCCACAGGCCTCTCCAGGATACCTGCCTGCCTGTCAGTCCTGGGACCCAAGTGCTGCTTTTACACCCAGCAGCGGGAAGTGGTTACGGCAGAGCCAGCCCAGGCTATTAAACCGTCATCTGAGAGGGAAGTTTGCAGAATGTTTCCTAGCCCTGGGCCACAACCCTCTGCCCACCTGGCTCAAGCCCAGAGCTAGGCCCCACCTCAATAACTAGCAGGGTGCAGAGGGAGGAAGTGAGGGAGAGGCACCTCTAACAGTCCCTAATCTAACCTGAAGAGAAGCCAGGGCTGTGACTGTGATGTTGTGGTCACACTCACACTGTGGCCAGCCCCTCTCCTCCCTGCTCCCTGTGCCCTGTCCCCAGGGAGCCACCTGGCTTTGGACAGCTTCTTATGATCGTCAGCCTCTCCTACTTCCCCAATAACTTTGCCTTCATCTTGACCCCAACACTGGGGGACTGTCCCTTAGGGCCTGCCTGCAACCCTGTGCTGGGGGGCAGGAACAGGAAGGTGCCATTATCCAGCTGGCAACAGAGATGCCCCAGGTTCCCTGGGGACTCAAAGCTGGAGGAGGAGAAGCTCTGGAATTTCAGGGCCTGACGGGGCCCAGGTCCGGCTGGCTTGTCCTCAGCGCCCAGAACCAGAGCAAGCACTGAGCATCAGAGGCCTGGGGGCTTCCCTGGGGGCTCCCATCTCCTTCCTGTCTACATGGTAGTGGAGACAGATATGAAAAAGAGTGGGTGACCTGCCTGGGCCCTTCCGCCCCCACTGCCAACCCCTCCCCCAACACCCTGCAGGGGCCTTGCCCACCTGGCATGAGGTGGCAGGACTCAGCCACCTGGCTGCAGGCTCCAGCGTGTGCCCCTGTGACCAATCCCTGTTTGCCCTGAGGGGGTGACTCTGAACTGCTTCTCTGTGCTTTCAGGTGTGGTCCTACTGTGTGGTCCTACCTGGCAGGGTCAGTTCTAGGACCTCAGAAGCCTGGAGAGGACTCAAGTGGCAATTGCCAGCCCTGGGGCTGGATGGAACGAGGGAGGGTCTGGGCTGGTTGGAGGTACTTGTGTGCTCCTTCCTCCCAGGGTGGTACCTGCCACCCAGGAGCAAAAGAGGCCCTGCAGCAGGATGTCTCTGACCAGGATGCACCCCGCCCCCACCCCGCCTGTGCCCGGTGCGGCCTCACCTGGACCACTGGGTATCCTCTGCTGCGTCCCTGCGGGCCTCGTCTGCGGGCGGCTGCATCGGCAGGATGGCAGGCTGTGGCACAGCAATTCTGTCAGAGCCCAGCTCCCACAGGCAGCGCCGCCCAAGTCCACGTGTCAGTCCCAGCGGCGCTTCCGTTCTGCCCTCCCAGCTCCCAGGACGTGTCACCCCAGATGGCCACTCAGTGGCGGGGTGGGGTGGGGTGGGTG